TCGTTAATTTGTCTACAGAAATATCATAGGTATTCAATATTATTATTTTCCAGAAGGTTTGCGGGCTATCGCCATATTTTTGTCCATTGATAATATTCATCAGTATCACAGTGCGCTCCTCGCTCTGATGAAGTGAACGGCAAAGTTCACGAAACGTTGGCATTAGCATTGGATAAAAACGTGATAACCCGCAAACCTTCTGATATTTTTGAAGATAATACCCATAAAAGCTTAAAAAGCAAAAAACAATCGTATTGAAGAATTTTAAAATCTTTGCAAAGCTGCTTTCTCCGCTGAACGCAGCCATTTTGTCTATTCATGTTATTTACTTTTTCCACTCATCTTCGTTTCTTTCTTTTCAACGTTCGAAAATATATCTATTTATTTTGTTTTAACTGCAACAATTTTTAGGAATTTCGAATAACGCGATTAGAGCTATTACATCGTTACGTTTTACACGTGAAAAAGCTGCGATAATATAACGATATCGACACTGTCGTTGAATAGAAGCCCTAAATATGCATCTGCAGCAATCGTTTGATATACAGAGAAAAGATTTTCTTTCAATCAAACAAATTTATGCATTGGAATAGTCCAACCAAATGGATGTTTAAATTAAGAATGTGATTATTTTCATCAAAACTAAATTTTTTTGACTAAACAAAATATGTTTCATTTAAAATTAAATTTGTTTCAATGAAATAAATGTATAAAATAGAACTCACGAGTCCAAACAAATCTTTTTCTCTGTGTAATGGAATTTCCATTATTCTCGATGCGCGCTATCACGCATTTATATTGTGCAGCGATAAGTATTGTATATAAAATAATTTAAAACGCGCTAAGAATGATAATTATAACTCGAATCGGTCTTCGTGTATGCGATGTCTGTCAAGTGCAAGTGAGAAAACACTATTTGTAGCGATAGTCTGCGCTAGTCTGATAGATAGAACGGACACCCCGTACATTGCTCGACACTCCTGATATTTATTTATCCGCACGATTTATTCCCGTCGCGTGAAAAATAGGAGTAACGCGGAGCAATATTACCTCGTTCCAAACTGCTGCCGCGCACTGCTGCGAAATAAAATTGGCCAGCACATTAAGATGGTAGCATGTTTTTAGAAAAATAATCCCGTACAATAGGTACCTAATCTTAAAATAGCGAATTAATATTTATAATTATAACATTTTATATTTTAGTGCTCCAATCTAGTCGGGGTTGGCAGTTTTGGTAATTATTATCGCGATTATTTTTTTAAGTCACCCAAGCAGAATACGAGTCATCATAATCAAAATGATGTCAAAATGGCTCCAAAATGATTACTAAAAGTTATTTTTCGATCAATAATGATTCATTTAATGTCATTTTGATGTTATCTCTTCGTGACTTGTTCTGCTTGGACATAAATCAAATTAATATTGTTTTCAACGTATATTATAAATAATATGTATAATACATATTTATAATATATTATAATATACATTTATAATATACGTATATTATAAATATGTATCCATGATCGCTTTACATATAATTTATTCTATATTTTTAATGTAATTTCTAATTCTTGGTTTCACGAGGAGATTCGTTATCGTTATTACGTTGAATGATAAAATGAAAAAAGATTAGAAACTTGAAACTTATAATACATTCATTAAAATTATTATTATTATTTATTATTATCATCGTGTCGGGATGTCTGCCAGTCATCGTAAAACTTACAATCATTCTTCACAGAAATACGAAGTCATTCGACCGCAAAAAAATATCCGCCTCGAACATAATGTTGATATGCAAGCGTGAAAAATTTAATGGGCCAAGGATGAGAGAAACACGCGAACGTTCGCCGGTCACGCGCGCATTCACATACGTTATACATATATTCCGAGAGCGACTGACGGGGAAGAGAGTCTTCCAAGATTAACGATTTCGTAAAATTTTCAGCCAGATTCCGCGCCGAGGACGCTACCGACCAACGCTCCGGCGGGACGAATATCGAGCGTCCTGTTTTATTTTTCATGTATTTCCGTTTAACGTTGCATCAGCGAAATTTAGGTCGCGCGAAGCCGTTAAGTTTCTAGATCGATAAAATTTTAATAAATGCTAATTCGCGCCAGGGCCGATGTACGGTTAATACCCACAAAATTAAATCGTTCGCCAGCTCCCGTGGAGACCGCTTCATTACGAAGAGCGCGGCCCTTTCAAGGAGAATGTTTGCCCTTTCACTCCGTGTACGAAATTAAGAAAAGAGGAACTGAGAAGAATAGACGAGAGCAGTATCGTCAACTTTGTCGGTGGTCCAATCTTGGAACATCACTGTCGGCCATTAAGTTAGTCTTTACTTAGACCAGTTGTTTTTACTGCTTTCTTAACTCACTCGGGACTTCTGAAAATAACACACTGTGAAAACAGTCTACTATGCAAATATGTGCCTGTTAATAATCTATACTCTTTCTCGAATTTTAATCTTATTTTTAAATAATATAAAAGTGATTAAATGTCAAAAATATATCATTATACAACGTATAATAACATAATAATCGCTACGTATCGTAATCGTAAAAATTTCATTTTGGATCGTGTATAAACATTTTGTTTAATATCAATTTATTTTTGTACCTCGCAAATAAAATGATTTACAATTACGATGTGTCATAAAATTCCGCGAAGCAATTTTATTTTAAAAGGAATATCTATAAAATTTATATATTGTTATCGCATGCAATTCCAACGATTTTATGGGAAGACCGCTACATCAATCAATTTTACCGAATGAATTCGTGACGCCAATTGAAAAGCAAAAGTGATAAGGACGAATATGGCGTACAGAGTTTATTAGTACATGCAATACCGGTGGCGATAAACGATCTAGACCTTATATTCGACAGTTATGAAACTGGAGGGAATTCGAGGCACTGGACATGCTCGGTAAGTTGTTCAGGCGGAAACGTAATCGCAGCCGAATGTATTATGCCTGCGTAAGAAGCACGCTGTTGTTCTATACGGACGCGCGGCCGCATGACTACGATCAACATGCCGCAAACATCTGTACTGTAAGCGCAGAGATAGACGAACGCCAAAGCCGTAAGGGGGTCGTCAACTATGTACATAATTTCCAACTTCTAACTCTATCCATTCCTGCAACGGACGATCCGGACTGTCCGGAAGCGCCAAATCTCTCCGCGCCCAGCGCGCGGTCAACCCCAGATATATGTTCATCTGACGCGCGAATAGCATCGCGCATGGGAATAGTCTCATTTGTATTTGTTTGTATGCTGCCTCATTAATAAAATGGATCGACGGCAAAACAGAAAATTACTCGAATCGCGATACCAGGTGTCGTAAAATCAGGCTATCGTATAACTAGGGCAAAATATAGTCATTACCACCTCATTGTTTTATTATCCAATGCGGGATATAGACAAAAAGATAATATTGCTAAATTTAAATATTAATTTAATATATGCATATATACGTTTGTTCGCATATTAATCTCTTTTTTAATATTTATATACAAAAAAATAATCTTGCTCAAATATCTAAAAATTTAAATAGACAGATATGAAAATAATTTTGTTCGACCATTAAAGTAATTATGTAGGAAACTCAAGCATGATGAGAGCAATGCAAAAAGTTTTGAGCAACTTGAGCCCTATAATTATTTTAATAATCCAACAAAATTATTTTCAGATTTATATCTAACTAAATTTTTACATACTTCAACAAAATCGTTCTTTCCGTGTACAAATTAATTTTAAAAATCACTTATAGTTAAAATTTTTGATTTATAATTCGATTATCAATATTTATAGCATTCTATAAAAACACGTATTTTGAATTTGTTTATCGATTACATTGTATGTATGTACAAATCGATCGACAATCATGTGCAAGATCAGACGATCGTTAGTTGTCATGACATAATCTGACTTCGGCTCGATTCAACCTCAACATAATTTGGCTTACATCCTTTTTCGGCAGAAAATCGTCAAAATTACTAAATTCCAAATGGGGTGGGGTTTGACAAGGACGAATTGCTTGTGTAACGGCAGCCATGGTGCATCGACGCAAGTGCAGAAATCCGTTCCATCAAAACAAGTCCTGCCGGCATGTCCTCCTATCATAACGGCTGCAGTGAAGTCCACTTGTGCAGCAAGACGGATGTTCGTTTCTGTCATCATCCTGATCTTTTTACTGGCCGCTATATATTGGGTATCCCTGCACCAAACGGGCTCCGGCGTACGTCGACCAATGAGATTTCAACCTCAATCTTCACGAAATATCATACCGGATCAAATGAGAATTACGGAAACGACTCAGAGATAGAGGTAACGTAACTAATAATTCTAATGCCTTCGGAAAAGACAAGCAGAATAATTCTATTAATTCAAAATGAAAATTTTTAACAAGAAAAATACTCACTCGTTGCAATTCTTTATTGTACTAATGTAATTTTTCAACATATAATTCTTGCAGCTCAAAATATATCAAGATTTGTATATCAAGAAAAGAATAAAAATGCTTTATAAGTTTAGTCGTTGTAATTATAATCTCAGATATTTTTCAATGATAATACCAATTTATTTGTTTGCGTAGTTATTTTGGAATTTATCATCCTGAAATTATTCTGATATATTTTGAGAAATGCAAATTAATAGAATAGCATTATTAGAAAATAGAAATAACACAAATAAATCTAAAAATATTACACTAGGTAATCAGCATTGAAAGAGCAAAGAAAAAGTAAATCCAAAGTAACAATATGGACTTGCATTTCCAAGCAACATGCTATACCGCATTTCATTGCCGGACACTGATATTGTATATCGTAGTAGCAGCTGTGGTACGATGTGTATATGTCGTATAGAAACAACCAATCCTGCAAGTCTAATAAGCTGTCTACAAAATAAAGAAACATACAATAATAAAAATTTTTATACTATCGTGTATATGATATTAATTTATCATCTTTAATAATAACATTAATAACATTATAAAGACGCATGTTACAAAATAATTTATTCATATTTGAAAATCTCGAAAATTCATCATCTTCATTATTCTCCGTGAAATGAAAATCTAAAATCAAATTAATCACATTAATCATATTGTTTATAAAGTAAAAGAGGAGTAGACTTTCCAAGCAACATGCTATACCGCATTTCATCACCGGACACTGATAGTATATATCAGGCCTGTCCAATTTGAACTTCTGGAGCCAAAACGCAAAATCATTGACGTACAAAATTCAATGTGAATAAGATTTTAGAAATATATAATTTATAAAGTTTTGATAAGCGTCACTAGATGTGCATCAACACTTTTCAGTCCTCGAAATCATATTCACATTGAATTTTTTTGCGTCGATGGCTTTGCGTTTTGGCTCCGAAGCTCAAATTGAACAGGCCTGCTATATATCGTAAAATGCATTTGTCTAAAATTTCAATTTTTTTAGTTAGAGGCGTAATATTCAATGTTGAAAAACTCATATTATAATCTACTCTAAGATGTTCAGAAAGCATTTTCTTATCATTAATTTATATGCTGAAAAAACATAGACATTGTGTTTTTTAACTGGAAACAAACAAAATGCATTTGTTGAACATTTTTAGCAATTGTTTAGTAATTTTGTTTAATATTTCACATTCTACTGATTGGTATATTGTTATTTTCTGTAAAGTGCGTAATTTTCTTGTGTGCGCAGTTTCTTTCTTTTTCATTTTATGAAGATTACAAATTTCGAACAAAACGTATTTTAAAAGTCTGCTCCTCAAAAGTATAATGATAAAAGTAAATCTTCGAACTTAAATCTGTAACATTCATTTTGATATATTCTATTCGTGTATACTGCTATCACGAATATGCACAGTAAAATGGTGAGAAATTTAATATGGAACAAATATCGTAAAGACTCTATAAAGGATTAAATAACTGTAATCAAACGACGATAGTGATTTTAATCAAAACTGCCTAACTGATCGAGCGCACGCAACATCATCCCTGTTTTTCTGAGCATCCGATTTTCAATCATGCCATACGCAAACGGCAACTTGGCGATAATGTCTCGTTCCAAGAGTTCGCGATCCACTTCTAGATACGCATCTTTCACGGCGTCTAAATAAATCTCCAACATATTCTGGCAAAATGCCTTAACCTTCACCAGATTATTACAGTCGTCAGGCAGATTTTCGAGGAGAATGTGGCCGAAATCGATCGATGGTGAACAGTACCTCATTGTGCTCCAATCAATCACTTTTACGTCACTCGGACACCCATTCTCGTACCTGAACAACAAGTTATTCCGCGTGAAATTACCATGGCAGATGGTCCAAAAATCGTTAAACTCGAGTTTGGTCGTTATGCTGTGCTTTGCTCTTATTTTCTCGGAGAGACTTGCCTCAACTGGCAATGCGGAATATAATGAAGTGTCCAAACATTCAGGATTATCCAATGTTGATTCAACCATAAATTCAGATGTTCTGCAAATGATGACAAGATTAAAGACATGTTATATACATGATCCAAATAGGCTACTTGCGAGAATTATGCGTTATACATATATCTTTTCAACTATATTACTTTTTAATTAATATTATAATATATTTAATGTTAATACGTTATTATTATGATCTCACTTCACGTAATTTTTAATACTAAAAATGTACGTATAAATAATAATCGAATTATACCTGTCACTGCCAGAATTTGTATTGAGGTGCAACCAGTCAATCGGTTCAGATAGTTTCGCATAGAACTCCCTGAAAATAGGAAACTTATATGCCTTCAGTTTCAGTCCCTTGCCGTGAAACGTCGCCAAAGCTTTCAAGCACAATTTCAGATGATCCTCATCTAATTTTTCATCTACTTGTGTGTAACCACTCGCGGCCAGATCTTCCAATACGATAACAGCCTGATCATCGAATCGACCTAGATCGGACACGTAACACTTCGAGGTGCCGTCTGTTCCATAGTTAAGCGTCATCTTGCTGTAAAACATCTCCTCGTTCAAGAATGGACCGGACGGCGTAGTTTCCATATGTTTAAGCAATTTGATAATAAGAGGAAAGCTACATGTTACTCCGGAAAACTTTACGCGTGCCATCACCCGATGCAGTATATTCTCGCGACTGATCTTCCGGTCTAGGTGTTCCACATCGACGGAATCGAGCTCGACGAACTCCCTGGACCCAGGCTCACAGAAATAACGATCATGGACCATCTCCGGTATCAATATCCACTTTATGAAGTAGCAATGTTTGCATTCGCACTTCTCCACGAGTTTCCCCGACTTCGTACAGGGATCTGGGTCGGCCATAGCGAAAGGGAAAATAATATCGCTGTAATAAAACACGGTAGCAATTAAGGACACCGGCACTGCGAGAGCGCGCGCTTAAAGCCGGAAAGTCGAGAATTATGAGGATTTTTTTTACGCGAGCCCGCTCGTTCTAATAACGTTGTCGCGACGAGTGCCGCGCGCGTTAATAATGTTTATCGTCACGAAGTGCAACCAGTCAGCGGGCGACGGAATAATTAAAAAACATTTTAACCGTGTCGTTAGCCTCTCAAGAATGAGTCAAAATGCAACATGGACGTCGATGTAAACGAGCGATTCTATCAATTAATAATTAAATAGGTGACGTACATAGCTCGCATGATTATAAAGACTATCTAAACGTAACATAATTAAAGACTTTGCCAGCGGGTTCTAAACTCACTCAAAGTATCTCTCAGCACGTTCCACTTACAACTAATAAGAAGTGTTTACGTGCTCCGTTACACTTTCACAGATCCCCCTTCCACGCATTTATTTATCTGACCGATAACAAAACTTGTATCAACACGAGTCGATCAGTCTTGTGTGAGATACAAATCATAATCTTCTGTAACATTTTCCAGAACCAGTAATTCTTCGGAAATTTAATGTAGTTTATATTCTTTCTATATTATCTATAATAAATTAGTTATTAAATTTGCACGTATGTTAAATATTATTACTTATTCAATCTACATTTCTCGCTTTTTGTGTTTAAAAAAAACCCCCCCCAAAATTAAGTGTAGATAAAAAAAGATAACATCACCGTAAATTTATATATATTAAATAATGAAATATTCAGCTACATTTTTTATCTTTTCGATTTAATCGATTTGAACCAGTTTTTATCGGTTTTTAATGGCGTCGTAAATAAGTTTATCACGCCGAGAAGTGACGAACCATTTAAGAAACGTCGTCGTCTCTTTAAGTACATTTTCATCGACATTTAATCAGAGAAAAGGTCTCGATCTTGAGAAAAGTGGAAGTAAGTTTAAATTGCGTTATATAAAGATTATCATCGTTAAAGAAATTACTCAGTATAATCGGATCTATGTAATTAATTGAATTTTATTTTAACCGGGTGACGCGTGAGTCTCGGACTTTAAATGCTGAGAGAAAAATGTTCTCTCGCCATGTCATAATGAATTTGAAACTTTGAAGACAAAGCACAAATCGCAAAATTCTTAAACATAGAAAACATATTACATACCGTATTTATAAACGTAACTTAAATCATGATGGAATTCTATACCGTGACTTAAATATTATCTATTACATATAAATGAATTTTGTTGAATAACATTATTTAATTATCGATAGGATGACTTTATTTTGACAGATCACTGCAACTTCAAATCTTAACGAAGGCAACGACAAGCACCGAACATCTCGTGCTTGACGTTTCCATTTACAATTCAAAACCTAAATTTTCAAGTGTAATTTTCGTAAATTACGGTCGAACTTACTGCGAATAGAATAATGCATTATTGATCACGAAGGAGAACGAACTGGCACGACAGCTGCAGCCGGGATCTAAATTCGTTAAAGCAAATCAATGATCTAGTCTCTGGTACCGATGATTAATTTACCCTGTAACGCGGCCTCGATGTCACAGGTCACGCCCTGTCAGAACGTACCCGTGCAGACGAGTCAGTATAATTTTCCAACATGTCAACAACGGCAAACCAGCACTCAGCAGATGCAAACTGCAGCATGCGGTCCGTGCTCCGGAACTTCTCAAGGTACAAAACCGATCATGTCCATCAAACGTTAAATTACGTAATAATTTAATGTCATACAATTTAAGTTGAGTGCTTTTTTACAAATATAAACAGTTTGACTATAAAGCGACGAAGCGAATATTCGCTTTATTCAATAAAAAGATATTTTCTAGATATTATTTAAATAATGTTTAAAAAATTCAATAAAATACGTCCATCCTGAATTTATTCTCATTTTAATTTTATCTGTTGAATTCATTGTATAATATAATGAAGAGCTGAAAAGTATTTATATACAAATATTTATTTGTTTGTTTAAAGTGACATCAATTGAAAAATAAAATTGTTAAAATTTCAACAGTAAATAAATTATATCCTTCCAATTATATCCTTTCACAGTTATATTAATAATAATATTTTCAAAATAATAAATTAATTATCAATATTATTTGTCTTTTAATAGAGAGTATCAATTAAAAACAATTAATCAAATCTGCCTCAAGTTTTTGGTAGATATTCTCTTATAATTAAATCAGTAATAATATTCGAAATAAATAATTAATTAAATGAGTAATTATCGATTTTCTTTGTTTGTTTAAAATGTAATGTAATAATTAGATAAAAATTGAGATATTATATACAGAGAGTATAGATGACTCAACTAATTTTTAATAATAATTTTCATAACAAGAAATACAAACATAAATGGCTGACATAAATGACTGATATATGATTATATTTTATTCAAATTTTTCTCATCTACTATCCAGGAGGACCTATCACTCACGTTTATCCGGACACTTATATAGTGACACACCAATGCGCACCGGGTATACCGCAGCCAATAACGAATCCATATCATCCAGTCTTTCAGAGCTTACCACCGACTCATCCCGGTTGCGGCCAGTTGCCGCAGAATATTCTGGACCAGATTCGTGCGTGCGTTACCAACGCCGCGCCCATCTTTATTCTGCCTGGCAACTATCAACCATCGCCGGTATCCCAACAACAGCAGCAGCAGCAGCAACCACCCATGCCTCCTTTGGTACCTCAAATAACATCCTCGCTTCCATCGGGTGGATTAACTTATCCCGCCGCCTGTTATCCACCACCGCCGCCGTTCTATCCCTATCCCATGCCTTTGCCGTTCTACGATCCGTTTATTCGCACCCGTGAAGCCATGTCGAATTGTGGATGCTGCCAGAGAGGCCAAAGAGGCGATGTTGACTGGACGGAGATTAGAAACGTGTTACGCGCCGGATGTCGTTACGACGCTACCGATCCAGTCGAGCATCGTTGCACGCCCAACATCGATGATACTGTCTGCTCGCAAAGGAACTGCCCGGCCTCTCTACATCTGCAAGCTTTGGCTTCACAGTTCCTATCATTGCAAGGCATCATAGCTTGTGCTGCCACACGACTGATTCTACGTAAAGTGCCGGGCTCAAATGTGACCGCTACAATGGAGGAAACGATGATGAAGGCGCAAAAAGCCATAAACACCCTAACCAAAGATCAGCTATTATCGGAATCGAAGAATGTGCAGCAACTAAATACGCTGATTAATCTGCATATGACGGCCAATCCACCACCTAACATCATCCCGATCCTCACGTTAGTACAACTGAAGATGAATCTGCTGAAGGCGCAGGTTGAAGGACTTATCAATCAGAAGATAATGGAGATTCAAGGGGTTGGAGTGGAGGTAACATCAAATTGTTGGAGAAATTTTAATATGCTACTTATATTCCCATAGCAAAAAATCATATTGTCATATTCATATCACAATAATCACAGATAAATTACGTACGTATTTTACTGCGTTCAGCAGACTCAACAGTTGAGTGAGCGCTCGCTGCTATTGATGTATTCTTCCAGAATAAATTTCTAAAATACTGATGGGATGATCTAAAAGAATACAGCGAACGCTCAGTCAATTGTTGAGTCCGCTGAATGTGTCCATTGTGAGACGATCAAAAGATCACAGTAACATCACATATTGACTGCTTTCAGCAATATCGCTCGGATGCCTCCGTTGCCTTGATGATGAATCCAATCAATATATTATCTCAATCTTAAACCCAATTCCACAACTCACGGTTAACTCTTAACCGAGGTTCAACTTATTCACTGTCTCTTTCCAATTTTAGAATTGGAAAAAGAAATGAGAATTAAGTTGAACCTCGATTAATAGTTAACCGTGAGTTGTGGAACTGGGCCTTAATATGTGTATGTCATAGCAGTGTCACAATGAGGTGTAATTTTTATTATAGTTTCATAATAACTTTAGGCCCAGTTTCACAACTGACGGTTAACTCTTAACTGAGATTCAACTTATTCATTATCTCTTTTCAAGAATTAGAAAAAGATGAGAAATAAGTTGAACCTTGGTTAAGAGTTAACCGTGAGTTGTGAAACTGGGCCTTAATGACGTCATAGCAACATCAACCATGGCAAAGCACTCGCACATCACTATGACTTTATTACTTATATTACTATGACTTTTTGATATCGAAATAATATTCGAACTCAGGCATATCTATTTAATTTTTATACATACTTTTCTTTCTGTATCAAGGTGACGACCGATCTCATAGATCCGACAGTCCTCGCTCTCAAATCTGACGCTGAACTGCGAGACTTCCTATCGGCGTTACGCCAGAAAGAGTGCGATGAGCGAGTAAATGTAAACTTTGCACTGTATCGATCGCAACGTGCGATCGCGGAGACTCGGTTGAGCAACATTCAGAATAAGATCCGTCAAGTGGAGGCAGAATTTGATCGCAGACGATGCGCGATGCTGCCGGCGCCGACGTTGTCGTCACGCGTCGTACAACAATTCTCCAGGCCGTGTTATTCAGCGAGATTCGAGGCTCCCAAGAGATTGTACAGTACGGTACCGCCAGACGTTCGTTCGCTGGACCCGTTCACCTATGTAAAACTGCGAAGTCTCAAGAAGCTGCAGCTGAAGCCATGCACGGGTAAGCTGGAGACTGTTCCAGCAGCTGGCACGCGTGGCAATCCTTCCAGAAACCCGGACGACGCTGGCGGTGCTGATCACGCGAAGGAACATCTCGCGACTTCCGAACAGCAATGTTACAGCACGGAGAATTGCGCGTGTTGCGAGAGGACGACGTCGGAGGAGAGCATTGGAGAGGATAAAAAAAAACTTCGACCGAAGATTATCGAAATAGACGCGACGACAGTCAATAATGTTGAAGAATTAGAATACCAGCCATTGTGTTTGATAAAGTCAATGTCGAACGTCTGCGTGAAGATAGAGGAATACGAAGAAAATGCGCGAAAATATAGAGAAAGAAACGAAATTCCATGCAGCACACAATGTTGGACGGCCAAGGCATATATCAACGTCGCCGACGACGAATCGATGAAGACTTTAACAGAAGAGACTTTAACATCTGAGAGTGATACGGTTGCGCTCAGCGAGAAGATCAATGTCGAGGACGCTTGCGAAGCGCGAAATGTGGTTGAGAGCGTGATTCAGAGCTGCGAACAGACAATAACAAATGTACAGCAATTTAAAAAACAAGCAGAAGATAAAATCGTAATTCCGAGAAAGAGAGATGAAATTATTAAAATAAGCGACGAGATTAAAAGTTTACGTGAAATCCTGCCGCAGGAAGATCAAGAAGAGGTGACAGCGAAAGTTATAAATGAAAAACCAATTTCAAATGTGCAGGAAACGGAACCAAAATCATCAGGCATACGCGCTTCACTACTAAAAATTATATTAAAATCGAAAGAAGAAGGACACAAGAATAAACAGGAAGATAAAACTGGCGAAATCTTGCCATCAACTACGGGTGCCGTGATAGAACAAAGCACAAATCAAGTACCAATGAACAAAGCCAAGAAGAAAATAAAATTTCACATTGTTTCATTGATGACAAATATCGAATACGATAAAAGCCTTATTGAATATGAAAAAAAGCAAAAAATCGAGAAGGAAATAGCAATGAATGAAAGAGAGATAAATGTAATCATCGATCCGGATATTGAAAAATTAAGTAATCACAGGTCGATAGAAAATCTTCTAAAAAGTGCCGTCGCGCACAATATTATTGCTGAAAGAGATCACTCGGAGAACATATTTTTAAAGAAAATGGATTTTCCAAAGCTCTGCTTTGATCACCAATGCCAAGCGACATTTAAAGAAGATAAAACTACAACTGCTCCATTGTTAAAGGCAAATATATTTCCCCCATTCACAAATCTGTATAAACATGTAACAGGTAATTGGTTTCTTTATGTTAACATAATACTCTATATTTAGAAAGAGAAAAAGTAATTTGCCACATTTTTCCGTTTTACAATGGCTTTTCATTAATCAAAATATAATTCTAAAAATTACAGTTCTGTGCAGAATATTAAGTATAAAATTGAGTTTAAATCAAAATTTTTTATTCAGATAATGAGAAAAACGGAGACAACGGAACTTATTCAAATCCGATAACGAAAGCAGGAATTACGACTACAAAACGTTTATCCCGCTGTAACGATGTCACAGGAAGTACCTTAGAAACTCTTTGCGCGAATAATATGCCTTATCATTCCGATGTGGAACGCGAAGGAAGTTTAATTTCGCAACCATTTTTTATCATTGGCAACCACATGATCGCATTTATCAATAAAATAATTAAAATAATGACCGGAAGATTATTGTACGTGATTCGTAGCGCGATATTCCGTGAAAGTAATGTTCTTAGAAGAGACGTTCCGACAGACAATTATACCATATTGACTTCGAAAGATTCTGATTCATTCGCTAGTATCTCGCATTATTCTTCTAGTTTGAATTATAAAACTTTTAAAATTAGTAAATATGATTTTCACGATATCAACTTATTACGGAAAGAAGAATTTAATGGATTACATAAAATAAAACATTCTATAATTGAAGACAAAAAAAACGACAGAAGATATTTATTGATCGGTACATCAAGTCACAATTGTGACTTGATACTAACGCGTGATTTAGGTCGACCTTACAAAGTACAGAGAAGTCTCTTGATACGTAGTCGATTGAAAAATTCTCTAAATTCACAGGATTATCCACATCCTTTTTCTCTTTTGAAACGTACAGAGGAAAATGTACTTCCTCGTCAAGCGAAACGAAACGAGAACATAGGAATGATCAAAGAAAACGAAAAACATCGAGTGAAGAGTAGTGAAAAATTCTGGACATTATCAGAAATTGTAGAAATAAACAAAACTGATGGAAAATTATTAGACATGAGAAAATATAAATCCGAAGAACAAATTTTAAACAAATATTTATACGATATTAAAAATAATGTATCTACCGTACAAAAACATACAATCGTTGATAATACAATCAGCAATGAACTCGTAATAAACGTTCATAATTATCTCGAATTGAAACTGAAATAAATAAGAATATATGTGTATACGTAACGCATGTTCATTGATATCTAATAACTGAAATAATAAAATTTCAGGATAATATGTCATATATTGAAAAATAATTAGGAATTATAAAGGTATGTTATAATTTTCGCTGAAGGCTGATTAAAGTACACAATTATAGTGTAACTTCTTTCCTTTATTAATAACTTTTATTTTTTCGTCAGTGATTTATCCTTTCGTCGATTTAGCTGTCTAATGAGAATCTTTAGAATTGGAGCAACAGTATGACGGTAAACATATTTCAATGTTTTCCCAGAATCATTCATTCCAGACTCTACAAGAGTTGCAAGAATGGAAAAAGTATTTTGTCACATATCCTGTACATTCGTATCGAATTAGCAACATATCATACTGTTACAACGTGAACACATACATATCAAGTACAGTTTAATTCCCTTGCGTGATTTTGCGATCTTTCTAATTTATTAATTAATGTATATATATATATATATTATAGATTTCTTACATTGGGATCCTTTGACAAGGCAGCAAAGATTCTTTCTCATCGAAAAGACTTATATTGTTTGGAGACAGCATCAGAATTAGCATTTTTAAGTGGCGACGAAGGATTTGGTACGTCCTTGGCTGTAGACGCAATGACGCGCGCACTTATGAAGTCGAACTGGCCGAAAGCGCGTTCCCTTATCGCAAACATCCGACAAGTTGTTTTAAATTTGAAATGTCGGAGACAAAATGGAGATGAAACTGGCATTTCATATGAGTAATATGAAATTTGTAAATGGAAGAACTCATGTGTATTAGCAGATTGTAAATACATACAAATATTAAGCTCCACAATGAAAAAGCAATTCAAGATAGCAATTCAGTTAGAGCCATATTAATACACATTATTAATACGTGTACCTCAAGTACATATTGTTATATCAAAGTTACAAACGGACCATGCTTAGGATAAATACGTTCTAAATTTCTTATAGAAATATGTCTAACCGCAGACTGAAGAGACACTTGTGGAAGAGAAAGATCGAACCTATTGTTGTGAAATATTTCATCAGTCAAGACAATCTCTGTTTTTATCATGAAAATTTTCGTTTCAAGGAACTGAGTGATCACGTCACTTTCCAAAATTTAATAAATTATCGCATAATACAGTGTTAATTTAACACAGTATTTCATGACTATTATATAGATATATATTAAATATCTTGATTTTTAATTAATGACAAAATTTAATATATTTTTTAATTATGTGGCATACAAGAATTTAATATCTACAATTTTACAGATCTTTTCATTTGCCTGATATATACCTTCTAAAGAATAAATATTTGATCTTTTTCATAACTCACAGCTACTATTTAGCAAAATACGGCCATCAAATGTAATAAGTCAGAATTAGTCCGTCATTATTATTGGCAGAATATTTTATGAAAAAAATAAATGATAGATTAAAAAACAATGATATAGAATGATATACTATTCATATAAGATCATGAATAATTATTTTTTAGCGTAATAAAATTGTGTAGAAAAAAAAGAAAATATTTTTTGATCAATATCAATCTTCTCTTAATCAATATAAATTGAAAAATTTTCATTTTTCGATAGATAAAAATTATATACAAAAAATATTTACAGATATATTTTCACCACTAATGCAGTCAATTTCATGCGAAAAAAAATAATTAAATAATGGTACAATATTGTAATATAATTTAGTTAAAAATTAAACCTCTTATGACAAATCTTTGATCAAAGAACTTAAGCAACTAAATATTTAAATTCAATTACTTGCAATATATAACTAATTACTTAGGCAAATCTTTTATATTTATAACAATATTTTTGCAAATGAAACTTTTACATAATTTCAACAAAAAAAAAACGAAATTCTAAATTCGATTAAAACTAAATAGACGAAATTGTGAATAGCATATAATATAACACGTGTTACAATTTATCTAAATTTAATGTATCTATAATACGTCATTTTAGTGCTGTGATAAAAAAACTTTTAGTTATTTAAAAAAATTGTAAGTCATAAAGTCGTTTTAATCATAATAAACTTCAAACATGACTATTGAAAATTAAGTAATAGGCAAATTACGCATCTGTTGATTTCATCCCGAATATATTCGGATTTCATTATGTACAAGTTGAATTTCCTGCTCGAGAACATCAACTTGGACAAAGGCACGATTGACCGTAGGTAATGCTTGTGTGTGCAAAATATTACTATATAAAAATTAAAATTCTCCCCACATTTCAAGAACTAAAGTAACAATAAATATAAGCAAAGCGAATACTATTTTTTGTATACAATGTACAATCGAAGTCCTGTCACTCTCCCTTCTAACAGAAACATTCAAAATCACTATTTTCGTCTTGAAATTGAGAAATCATTCGGGCATTCCCAGCTTTTTCAGTTCTCGCTAAGTTTATTTAAGTTGTATTAAATTCTTAATTCACGCCTTTGGTGTACTCAGCTCTCAATTGGCCGAGTGTTACTTTTATATCGTGAAAACTCGGTCTCTTTTCTGGCTGTAAATCCCATGCCTGTTAAATAGCATCTAAGTAAAAAATGTGATACAATATGATACAAAATATAACGTAATAGATAAAAATTTAATATACCTGTCTCATAATATCGTAAACTTCCGCAGGACATCCATCTGGTGGTTCCATCTTATATCCTTTTTCTACGCACTTTACAACGTCGGCTAGAGGCTGCAATTAATAATAACGTGAAGAAAATATATCATATCTCTTGTATGACAATTTAGAAGAACAATATCACTTACAATTCGCGGATACGGCACACGACCAAAGGAATAGATTTCCCAGAGAAGAATTCCGAAACTCCACATATCAGACTTGTTTGAAAATTTCTGGAAAGAGTAATGTGATACATAAATATACATATATATATATTTTATTTGCCTGTAAAGTTATAATATATTTACGTTTTGTTTTAGAGCCTCTGGTGCAGTCCATTTGATCGGCAGTTTTCCACCGTCAAGAGAAAAGTTTTCATCCCGCGCCAGGCCAAAATCCGACACCTTGGCGGAATTATCCTCTGCTACGAGAACATTTCTTGCCGCTAAATCTCGATGCACAACATGTCTGGATTCCAGATACGCCATACCGGCACACGTATCGCTACAATATAATATATCAAATAATGCAATTAACATACAGGTATTTTATAGTTGGCAAACGAATTTTGTTTCTGCTTACGTACTATGCAAAGTTAATCTGATCCTTTTTTGAAACATGTAATCTTCCTCTCGACCGCAAATAATCCACCAGGGATCCTTTGCTCATATACTCCGTAACCAGGTACATGTGTTGATTATTAAAAACAAGACCGAGTAATTTAACCAGATTGTCATGAATCAATGAGGTCATTAGGCTAGCCTCGGCTAAAAACCTCTGTGCCGCTTCACTATTATCCTTTAGCATTTTCACCGCGACCCTTTCCCCTCGATAGACGCCTAGCAGTACATCCCCAAATTCCCCCTTTCCAATACACTCCCTTAATTCTAACTCGTGAGTCTGAATCACCCAACCGGCTTCTACAAATGCCTTTGGATCCACGCAGAAATCTTGCTTGCCCTGCTTCGGCAAAGATTTCATTAGCTGCGTACACAAACCATCCGCGTCCTGCTCGTAATGCTCGACCAAGAGCGCCAGATTTTCGAAGAATTCCTCGTCATCGATCGTTAACTGATTGTTTTTATATTTCACCCTATAGTGCTGTACACGTCCCTGGTAGCACACACAGAGTGTGTAATCCCCAGGGAAATTCGTCGACTCTCGAACTAGAAACAAGCCATCCTCTCGTGGTCGCAACAACCTTTCTGCCGTTTCCCTCGATATCTTCCCATGAAACCATCTGTATAGAAAAAACAATTTCGAACAGATGAAGTATGTATGTAGTTTTTTAACTACGCTTTTGCATCGATTTATTTGTCTCAGTATTTCTCGTTTTAAATAATTGTTATATTTGCAGATATGAAACTAAACCAATAATGATACATACGGCATAGCGTTCAGTTTCACTTCGTGTCGTGGATTAGCTGGCAACGCGGTAGTGTTGGCGCCCGGATTAATGACATTCGAGGTGAGAATTACCGGTGAAGACGTGGTGTTCATGTGTGTCGTGATATTCGACGTGGTGACACTCGAATGCGTGGTCATCGTCGGCGACACTGGATGGGACGGAATGCTACCTGTAGTCAGGTTGGAAGGAACACTGTGTTGTTGTTGTTGTTGTTGTTGTTGTTGCTGCTGCTGTTGCTGCTGTGTGTTATTTTGTATGAGGGGATGGGATGTTACGTTTGAAGGGATAGTGTGATGATTTTGATTGCCGTCGAGCTTCGCTTGCCTCGCTGGCGCTGACACATTCGGGTATCCGCCACCCGCATTGTGGTACGTTGGCATGGCAGCTACCACACAGTAGGCTCTATCAACCTACGAAGATGAATGAGGAGCATTCATGAACTTCAGGCATCATTTATCAGCTTGCCTCATTAAATAAGATGCTTTAGTGATGTTCTATCCGTAAGTACATTCATAACTCGTGTAAAAGTAATGCAAACAATATAAGAATGCGAAGATGATAATTTATAAAAAAAGTATGTAGATTTTAGCTTCGTTAAAAAATTGTAAAAATTTTAAATATTTTAAAATATTTTGAAATACGTACAATAATCTCTATATACAATTGATTTTGTTTTACACCTTCTTATGAACTGTATATTTTTAGGATTAATAGACAATCATTCTCCTATTTTCTCCTGTATCGAATTACATTGTTAAAGTCACGTATTCAAGATCTTCTCGACTCTTACCCGAGGATTGTCAACTACAAGTGAAGTATTCTTGGCAAGAAAAGCCGATTCTACATGGAAAATTCTACGGAACGGAGAGTCTCAAAAAACATGAGCGAGGTGCAAAGCGATCGATCGACAATGTTTACAGCAAAGACAACTCAATTATCCCGGGCACGACGTAATGCATGGAAGCGATGATTAATAAAACTCGTTAGGCGAATTGAGTCCAATGCATATTCAACTAGTATATACGTATCCACGGTAAACCATGTGTTGGGTTTTAATATACAGTAGTTAATCTAAGTGCCTATTGTTTCAAGGCGCATACACTATCGTGATGCTCATCCGCCGTATTACGATGCGCTGCACGACCGTACATGGAACGTATGTGATAGGTGAGTCACACACCAACCGTGTATTTTTTCGCGACGATTGTAACACGAATAAGCGTGGTAGAATAGGTCTATAATTATCCCGAACCTGACTAAGCGACATACAATTTCCACGCGAAATAGATACATTTCTGATAGAAAAATCTCTGCTTCAAGAAATCATAAATCATTCACTTTGGCATCTCTGAAGTATTCGAATACGTTTTATTATATTTCAGTAACAGAAGCATCGGATAAAATCAATCTGTCGAAACGATGCGAAAGACGTGCGGAAATATTCCTGCCGATTGAGATAAATGAAACGTACGTAGAAAGCGCTTCGTAACATTGCAGGAAAATAGCTTTTAAAGGAAATGCTCGTCAGCTTTCCGGCAACGATTTCCCAACGCTATCCATATTATGATCAAACGCGGTAACAAGAGAAACAAATCCATCGCACCAACAAATATTGAATAATTCAAATATTGAATCTATCCTTGGTCGGGCGTCTGCGAGATAGAAAAGAGAGAGAAACGAGCGAGTTATGTCACGCAAAAAGGTATAGTTGTAACGAAACACAATACGTAAATCGCTTTGTTACGTAAGCTCAAATAGTCGCATTTCTGTCGTGTGCTTTTCCATCGGTATTTCGAAAGACAGATAAGTGATTAACATCGTCAAGAACACACGACATGCAGAAGAGAAAATGTTAGATCGAGATCGTTTATTATCAAAAATATATATGTATGTAATAATACCGAGTTTGCGATAGACTATATAATTCGTGTTTATGTCGCACTTTACAACAAGCACGTATAAAAACTATGATAAGCTAAGGTAGAAAAGTTAAGAGGATTTTATGGGTCAAATATATAAAATAGAACCACCTTTTCTCTCCTCTCTACGTTAAAATAAAGTTTCGTGCAGCCAAAAAGAAAAAAGGCAGTATCGCGCCCGACAGGCGCGAAACGCCTTGAATATCAATATCAAATCTGAATGCGAGGTGCGTACATGTAATACATGTTCCATCGCGCTTGTCAGGTAACCCAACTATGCACGGCCGCATAGATTTCAGGCTAATGAAATTTATTATCGACTGCACGCGACGTTAATTTTTACCGATGTGTAACATGTAAAAAGAGCACTATGCAAAACTGTTCTATCGCGTGCAATGAGATACTTAAGAGAGTTATATACTATATATTTACAATCGTTTATGACTCAAACTATTTATGCCTCCAATATCTATGATTCAGAGGAAATGCGTGTCTCCTGAAACTCTGCGTATCACGCAAAAATTTAATAAATAAAATATATCATCAATAAAGAATTATCGCGAAATAAAAAATATTCTCGATTAATAGAGAAAAATTGTTTTATTATAAATGAAAATTCTGCTTTTATAATAATGTTTTACGCAGTAAATTATTAATACGATTTATGTACAAAAGTTTGCATAGATACTTGAACGATGTCATGTAAATATATATAGATCGTTTATTATTTTTAGAAAATGTTTTATATCTTTTTATTTTAGACTAATATATTGCTTTGTGCCTCGCGCATAGCAAAGTGGCTGAAGTTCTATCTTTCTTTTTTATTAGAGAAACGCAAATCAAGATAAATATTCCGGAAGGTAAATATTCTCGCTCGCCGCGAAGAGAAGGAAGGAAAAGAAACTTGAAGAAGCCTCGTTACTTAATGACAACGATACTCAATGTACATACATATAAAATACCTTGGAAATATCTCAAGGGAAATAACAGCGTGGTGCAGAGCTTATGCTAATTTCAATAGATCACAGTCAGATAGTTATGTGGTTCATGTGCAGATTTCAAGATTCGGCAGTTTTTCTATTTACATCAGTGTTTTTCGGAAACTGTAGCTCGTGATTCACTATCGGGAGCCTTTATGCGAGCCACAAACCACAGTCTACGTCGCGCATGTTTCATCAGAAGCAACGTTCATTTGCACGTGGAAAGCTTCATCTATCGACAAAAAAAGATGTTTCTATGATGCGATTGTGGTCCGTGTGAATACGACGATACCGTGAGCTTTCAAGGATGGAACAATAACTTGAATAACAGTGAGTCTCATAACTTCTAATAAATAGGACGAAAAAGATCTTCCCGTGTGAATAACACTACGAAAAAATATATGTACTAATATTCATATTTAGAAAATTTTTATGATAAAAAATATTTTCCCAGAGCGAGAGAGAGACAGGATTTACTATACTTTCCTTGATATTTAGAACATATAGTAATTAAAACTTGTATAAAAATCTAAAGTGCATATTAATAGACGGTCTTTTCTTGTTAATCAATTTGCGAGAAAAACTTTTGAAAAATCTACTTGAAGATCTCAAATGGATACAATCCCTATCATCGGAAGAAACTTTTCTGTTTGTCAAGTATAATACATTACATACTGAACTGAGAATGCATGGCTAAGGATTTAGAAGATCGTTTATGAGACAAGATCCACGATTGTTAATTTCGCGAAAGGTACGTTATACGAGGCTCGTGCCCGGTCGCATGCGTGCCTGGCCGGCACGCACCGCGGTCCTATTAATATCTCGCGAGAGAGCGTATAAAAGGGCGTAAATTCAAAAGATGTAGGGGGAGGGACAGGAAACCGGCGACACAGAGGCAAACGGATGCGTGCAACAGATTCGCGCCCGGCGAACGCGCTCGTTGTTGCGTGCTCTTTAACAGTACACGTTACTGTACCGTGACCCACCACCGTTTTCCATCTGACGTTGTCCCGCACATGACTCTCCGGGGGACAACCTCTCTTCCTCTCGCGCGGAACGCTTTCTTCCCGGCTC